CATGGCGTAGATCTCCTCTCTATTCGCACAGTCGAATGTCGTACCAGGGCGTAGCATTACATGGCATAGTATGGTATTGAAAATCAACGCGTAGCCTGACATAGCATGGCGTGGCGACGCCCCAGGGGCGGGCTTCTGCGACCCCCAAAATCAACGAATCGGCACCGAATGTGTAAACACTTCCGACGGTTTTCTCGGGGGGGGGGGGGGGGGGGCCTTTTCTAGATTTTGGGGCCTCATTGGAAGGACCGAAAAACCATGCCGTGCCATGGCGCTGGAAATAATGACGCAAGCGCTGCAGCGTGAGCATGATTCGGAACGAGCGGAAGCGCGGAAATGAGGCCAGCGCTGCAGCGGGAGCACGATTCGGAACGAGCGGCAGACCGAAAATGAGGCCAGCATTTCAGCGAGAACAGTATTTTGAAATAAACCCAAGTGCAAACCCGTTTCCCGGGAATCCGATGCGTAAAACAAACCGTGCGCGGAGGGGGGGCGAATGTTTCCCGGACGTCACCATGGAGAGAGGAGAGTAGTATTCATATTGTGTCAACCGTGGAGGAGGGGGAGGGGAGGAGGAGGAGGAGGAGGAGGAGGAGAGAGGAGGAGGAGGAGGAGGAGGAGGAGGAAGAGGAGGAATAATCACTTCTAGGAAGAAGAAGCAGAAGCAGAAGCAGAAGCAGACGAAGAAGAAGAGGAGGAGGAGGAGGAGGAAGAGGAGGAGGAGGAGGAGGCGGAGGAGGAGGAGGATGTGGAGGAGGAGGAGGAGGAGGAAGAGGAGGAGGAGTTGTATTCAGATTGTGTAACTGTGAAGGGGCTCGTGGACCCCCCCTGGCCCAATCTCTGGCCAGGAGGGGGGCGTGGGCCCCTGTCCGGGGGGGGCCCCCTCGCCTCGCGCGGGGCTCCCTTGGCCCTTGGCCAGGCCGCTGTCGCGGCAGGCCCGCTTCGCGTCGGCGCGGCGGTGGCCCCGCCATGGGATCGGCGTCGCCCCAAAGTGCTGATATCAAGTCGGGCGTGTCCCTCTACAGGAGGAATGTTGAAAAGTAGCGGGGAAATGGTCTGGGGACGATTTTCTTTGTTATTTCGGAGCATTTCCGAGTATGGTTTGACTATTTCCCAACCATCCTGTGGTGTTGGGTCCTCGTTTTGAAGAGACGTCGCCCCGCGTTCCTCCTCCTCCTTCCTCCTCCTCCCCTTCCTCCCCTCCCCTCCCCTCCCCACACCCAATTCTGCACACCCCTCACACGTTTCGTGGCCCCATAGGGAGCTCCACCGAAGGCCCCAGTGGCTGCGCCCGCATGCGGTTCCAACCCCCATTCTGGCACACCCCTCACACGTTTCGTGGCCCCATAGGGAGCTCCACCGAAGGCCCCAGTGGCTGCGCCCGCATGCGGTTCCACCCCCATTCTGGCACACCCCTCACACGTTTCGTGGCCCCAAAGGGAGCTCCACCGAAGGCCCCAGTGGCTGCGCCCGCATGCGGTTCCACCCCCCATTCTGGCACACCCCTCACACGTTTCGTGGCCCCATAGGGAGCTCCACCGAAGGCCCCAGTGGCTGCGCCCGCATGCGGTTCCACCCCCCATTCTGGCACACCCTCACACGTTTCGTGGCCCCATAGGGAGCTCCACCGAAGGCCCCAGTGGCTGCGCCCGCATGCGGTTCCACCCCCCATTCTGGCACACCCCTCACACGTTTCGTGGCCCCATAGGGAGCTCCACCGAAGGCCCCAGTGGCTGCGCCCGCATGCGGTTCCACCCCCCATTCTGGCACACCCCTCACACGTTTCGTGGCCCAATAGGGAGCTCCACCGAAGGCCCCAGTGGCTGCGCCCGCATGCGGTTCCACCCCCCATTCTGGCACACCCCTCACACGTTTCGTGGCCCCATAGGGAGCTCCACCGAAGGCCCCAGTGGCTGCGCCCGCATGCGGTTCCACCCACCCATTCTGGCACACCCCTCACACGTTTCGTGGCCCCATAGGGAGCTCCACCGAAGGCCCCAGTGGCTGCGCCCGCATGCGGTTCCACCCCCCATTCTGGCACACCCCTCACACGTTTCGTGGCCCCATAGGGGAGCTCCACCGAACGCCCCAGTGGCTGCGCTCGCATGCGGTTCCACCCACCATTTCGGCACACCCCTCACACGCTTCGTGGGTGGCTCCATGGGGAGCTCCAACGAACGCCCCAGTGGCTGCGCTCGCATGTGGTTCCCCCCCCCCCATCGGCACGCCCCTCACACGGTTCGTGGCCCCATAGAGAGCTCCACCGAAGGCCCCAGTGGCTGCGCTCGCATGCGGTTTCACCACCTTTTTCGGCACGCCCTTCACACGTCTCGTGGCCCCCTAGGGAGCTCTACCGAACGCCGCAGTGGCTGCGGTCGCATGCGGTTCCGCCCCCCATTCTGGCACACCCCATCACACGCTTCGTGGCATTTTTCTTTTTTTTCTTTCTTTGTTTTTTTTTTTGTTCCGTTTTTTTTTATTTTGTTTCTTCTATAGTTTTTTTTTTTTTGCATAGTTGCACTCTCGTATTTTTTTGTATTTTGCGCATTTGCGGTTTTTTTTTTAATTTTTATGTGCATAGGGAGCTCCACCGAAGGCCCCAGTGGCTGCGCTGGCATGCGGTTCCACACCCCATTCTGGCACACCCCTCGCACGTTTCGTGGCCCCATAGGGGGCTCCACCAAAGGTCCCAGTGGCACTGCCCGCGTGCGTCCGCCACCACCCAGCACAGCCCTTGTTCCCTGCGCTTCACCCACCCAGAACAGCGCTTCGTAGCCCTATAGGGAGCTCCACCAAAGGTCCAAGCGGCACCGCCCGCATGCGTCCGCCACCACCCTGCGCAGCCCTTGCTCCCTGCCTGCGTTTCACCCACCCAGTACAGCGCTTCGTGGCCCCATAGGGAGCTCCACCGAGGGTCCCAGTGGCACCGCTCGCATGCGTCCGCCACCACGCAGCACAGCCCTTGCTGACCGCGTCTCACCCACCCAGTACAGCGTTTCGTGGCCCCATAGGGAGCTCCACCGAAGGTCCCAGTGGCACCGCCCGCATGCGTCCGCCACCACCCAGCACAATTGCGGGATTCACAACTGCATATGGTTGGGTCCTTCGCCAGGCTAATTTTTGTTTGTCGTCCAGAATCGGCCTGTAGGAGGACATGCCCGACCTAATACTAATACTATGTGTTCGTCGCCTCCCAAGGGGCGACGCGCGTACCGAGAATTCTTAGAGTACAGGCGTCGTGGCGGGCGCTTTCGGGCCGCACCGCTCGGGAAACGCTATGCTACAAGATGGGTATACTATATGTTCGGGTCGGACGCATGCCTCCAAGGAGGGCATCCAGTACTAGAATGTCTCTGTGTGTCCCAATAGAAGAAGAAAAGACGGCATAGACCACGGCATAGACCCCCTCCCTGGCGCGCGGAGCGTGCCAGGGGCGGCGCCGAAGGCGCCGCCAAGTAGGCCCAGCGCAGATCCAAGGCCGCGAGGAGCGCCAAAAGCTTATGTTTATGCCGTCGTTCCTTCTTCCAGCCACGGGCGTTGGAGGCTTAGCGCCGCCAGCAGCACAGAGCATTGGCCAGCATGGAGCGATCTGGCGATCGATGACCGCCAATTGTTCGGGATTGAAACCGTCCGCGCGGTGCGGGACACCACAGTCAGGATCGTCACGGCGGGAACTTGCCGTAGCTGAAAGCGTGGCGCGCATCGCTTCGATCCGGACGCTGCGCAGACAGCTACTCCAGCGAAGCACCTTACTAGCAGCAACGGTGAGGAGGCGGGTCGAGGAGTAGGAGGTCGCTAGTGAAAACGTGCATTCCGAGGTGCCACGTACACTGCGTGCAGCCATGTGCAGCGTGGTGCATCCGCACAACGGATCTTGGACGTGTGACAGTGGTGAGGGCACGGCCACAGCACCGTGTTCTTTTGACCAGGCGTCGTGGCCGTGTGACAGGGGTGAGGGCACGGTCATGTGCGCCGTGGTGTTCGCTTACCAGGGATCGTGGCCGTGCGGTAGGGGTGAGAGCACGGTCAAGTGCACCGCAGCATCTGTGTTTTACCAGGGTCCGTGGCCGCCTGACAAGGGGAAGGGCACGGCCATGTTCGCCGCAGTGCATCTTGACGGTGTCGTGGCCGCCCAGGCCAAACATACAACAGCCAGCGCCGAGGCGAGACCGCGATCCCCGAGTACTCTGGCAGGGCGCCTCGGGCCAAGCGGCTGTCAGCCCCGGGCGTTCTCGTTCTCCCCCGTCCCCCCCCGCTGTGCGACTCTGCTGTGTGGACTCCCCAAACTGTCTCTGGAGCTCAGCTCTGTGGCAAGACGCTGTGCACCACGCCGTGTGCGCCCCGGCTCTGCGTGCTCTGCAGGCTGCTCGTGGCGTGTGACTCCGCGCGGGCTCCGGACAGAACGTTGACGAGTGGGTCCGTGCGGGAGGGGCACGGGCTGGGGCGCGCTGCGGTCGCGGGTTGCGCGGTCTCGCGAGGGAGCGCAACCACGGGTTCAGGCGCGTGGATTCGCGACGGGCCCCGCGTGCCTGCCACATCGACGCGCTCCACCGCCAAATGAGGCGGCACAGGCCTCCGTTTTCGGCGAGTGCTCTCTCCGATCTGCAGATCTGGCGCCCACGCAGCAGAGCCACGCATGCGCAATACCATGTCAGCGTGTGCCCGCGGGGAAGGCGCCCAGATCTTGCGTGGGTGACCACTACTGGCGGGGGGAACTCGGCGAGGACGTTACAGTCAGGATCGTTTGCCCAGCGTGTCGCAAGGATTGCAAAAAGGGTTTTTTTGCACTTCTTTTTTTGCAATCCTTCGTTTTTTTGCAATCCTTCGATTATGTTCCACCGCGCGTCGGCGCGACACTCCAAAACCGCGCCCCCAGTTCTGAGCGCCAGCGCCCCGAGCTCCTCCCAGCCTCCCGCCCCGCGGAGCGGGGCGACGCGCGCTGCGCCCGCAGGGCACGGCGCGCCGCTGGGGGACCGCCGCCGCGACGCGCCGAGCAAAAGTGCTCGACAGTGCCTCGGTCTTCTGGTCGCCGCTGCTGGCCGATTCTCGCGTGGGGCTCCCGCGCGTGCGCGCGCGCGCGCCCGCGCAGGCGCCGCCCGTTTTCCAGCCGCCTCTGTCTGAGGAGAGGCTCCTCGGGGGACCGCGCGGCACCGCGCGGCTCCTCGGCTTTTTGCAGCTGCCTCCACCCTGGGAGGGCCTCGGATACGTCTATGCCAAGTCTTCTCCGGATCGAGGAAGATGAGGATGATGAGGAGGATGCTGGGCAGAAAGTCGGGAGGAGGGATGGGAGGAGGAGGAGGAGGTGGAGGAGGAGGAGACAGCCTTTCCCCCTCCTGTCGATAATCGAGCTCCTTCTCAGGTCCGGTGCTGTGGACACCGCTCTCCTCCTCCTCCTCCTCCTCCTCCTCCTCCTCCTCCTTCTCGCTCTCCTCCTCCTCCTCCTCCGCCTCCGCCTCCTCCTCCTCCTCCTCCTCCTCCTCCTCCTCCTCCTCCTTTCAGTTCACCGCCTCCTCGCTCGCCTGCAGGCGGTGCGCCTCCCGGGTCTCCTCCTCTTTCCTTTTCTCCGCAGGCAGAAGCGACTAGGGGGCCCAAGGCGCGCCCGTCGTGTTCGGGGGCCCTCTGTCCAGAGCCCCCGAGAGCTGCCAGGGCCATCGCCGCCGCCTCCCTCACATCCCTGCTAGGCGGAGGAGGGTGGGGAGAGGAGGGGTGAGTAACGCAAGACAAGTATTTACCCCGTTGGTGCGAGACGGAACAAGCTGCTGATCTCACGGGTTTCGACGAGCGCCTTCCCACTGAGAGCGGGCCCTGTTTGGCCAGGGACGCTGAAGCCTGGAGACAGCCTGCCCCGGTGAGTGCGTATCTAGCGGGCGTCTCGTGGCACCACCCCTCCACACAGACCCACAGTAGGGCGCAGACGTGGGCCCTCTTTGGCCCACACCCCGACCTCGACTGCCTGCGTGTCTGAGAAGCGGTCGAGCAACGAAGACGATACCCGTACCGTGTGAACTCCCACACGGAGCGAAACGCTCGCTACCCGTGGGATCCGCGGCCCCAAAAAACAGCGTCGGCCCTAGGCAGTTTTCCAGAGGACCCCGGGATGGTGAGACGAGAGAGCGCCACGACGGTTAGCAGGTTTGGGTGATGAGCACTGCCACGAAGCGCAGGACAAGGGGGAGCAGGGGGGCGACTGGGGCAAGACGGAGGACGAGAGGGCCCCAACGACCGGCCGATCGGCGGGACCAGATTCGAGAGTCGAGAGCGGTCCTCGAAATCCAAGGTGTGCCTGGCACCGCCGCAATGGGAAGGTGGCATGATCGTCGGTGGTGCCGTGCCCTCGTGAGGGTTGAAAGTTTGCCCACCGCTGTCGAACTTGTGACTCGTGCGAGTCGCAGCAGCCCAAGGTTCTGGAGCAGGCCTGCGAGCTGGCACCGTCCCTGACAGCTGCTTGAGCCCTGGACGAGGTCGCGCGGTCCTGACCTCCAGCCATCACCAGGAAGCTGAGAACACGTGGCCGGGCACCCTGGACGCGGACGGAGTGGTGGTGTTCCGCCCTCGAGCCCGCATGATCCCCAGGAGGAGCATCTGACGGTCTGGTGCTACCCCTACAAGATAGGCCCCCCTTTCTGCACGAGAACGGGGTGAGGCGGTTGTGGCGTCGAGCAGGCTTGTTCCCCAGGAAGGTGATACTACTCGAGCTTAGTATTACTGCACACGTTGTGGCGTTCAGCCTGGGTGAGGACAGTGCGAGGCCGTCCAGATTTCGAGCCATCATTTACCCACGGGACGTTGAGGAGATGGCAAGCTTGTACTACCCCAACCACCGTGACACGCACTCCTGGGCGAGGAGGGCGGAGGATGAGGAGGACTGCGGGGATGAGATGAGAGGAGGGGGAAAGACGTGAGGGAGGGAGACACGGGTGGGATGTGGACAGTTCGAAGGGTGAATCTATACATGTATACACATACTTATGTTTACGCACACACATGTAGGTGTATATATACATATGTATTCGCACACGTATATTTATGTTTTCTTTATATGCAGCTAGGCATATATGCATATACGCATATATGTACATGTGTACTTATGTTTGATTGCATATGTGTGTATCTATGTATATATAGATGCATATGTGTAGATATGTATGTGTGTATACGTATATATATATATATGCATACTAGAACCACGCGCGCGCTTCGCGCGCGCTTATGTTCTAGCTAGGAGGCGAGCTTGAGTCAACGAAAGTCGCAGGGAAGGGGGCAGGGGGAAGAAGGCCAGAGAGCGCTGAAGGATACAAATACTGGAACCCTCTTGTGATTTTGTGGGGGGCCTCGTCAGGCCGCTCGCTGGGAGTTTGACGTAGCTTCTCGGGAGCCTCTGAACCTGTCGGGGGCCTCCTGGAAGCAGGTTCGAAGCATTTGGGGGGCCGATTTGGGGCTTCTCGGGGCCTCCTTTGGGCCTCTTGGGGGTCTCCTGGGGCCTCTTGAGGGGCCTCCTTGGGGCCTCCTGGCGGCCTCTTGGGGCGGAAGGCTCGAGCTTGCGGTTCGTGGTCCCCCTCTGGGCCCCCTCTTGGGCCCGTCTTGGGGCCCTCTTGGGCCATCTTGGGCGCCTCTTGGGCCGTCTTGGGGCCCTCTTGGGCTGTCCTGGGGCCCTCTTGGAAGCTTCTTGGGCCGTCTTGGGGCGGTCTTGGCGCCTCTTGGGCCGTCTTGGACGCGGTGAAAGCCCAAGAGGCGAACATGCGAAAAATATACGTTTTCCCATAGGAATGGCACGATTTTTGCTTCTTGGGCCTCTCTTGGGCTGCCTCTCGGAGCGTCTTGGAGGCTTCTGGGACCTTCTTGGTGTCATGACAGGCGTCTTGGAAGGCATCTGGAGCCATCGGAGCCGGGTCCGAAGCCGCCTGCGAACGATCTTGGACGGCGTCCGGCGGTCCGACGAGCCTCCGGGCCCCCCGGGGCCCACATTTGTGGTCGGGGTCCCGGCCCCGGGCCCCCGGACCCGGTGCGCCGTTATATGTATATTTGTGTATAAATATATTTGTACACATGTATGCATGCATAGGCACATGTAAATGCATGTGTAAATGCATATGCACATTTACACGTGTATGTACGTGTACGTGTACATGTTGACATATATGTAGGTGCACACATATTCACATACCAGAAGCACATACTAATACATACATACACATATGCACGCATATACATGTATATTAAAATCAGAGCGAAGGAAACAGAGAGTTGAAAGGCAACTAAAGAGACTATCAATGAGGTCATCCGCTCCCTTTTACCGTCCTTGTCCTTCGCCTCTCCTCCCGCTCTCCTCCTCCTACCCCCACCTCCTTCGTCCTCCTCCCCACCACCTCCTCCTTGTTTCTCGTCGTCCTCTCTGTTTGTCCTGCTCCTCTTGCTCCGCATGCTGCCCCTGTCACCCCTCCCTGCTCCCGCTGCCTCCCGCTGCGCTGTTGGCCCCCTCCCGCTCCTCCGGCTCCGCCTGCTCTTCCCGCTGACCCTGCACCCCATATCCTTCCCCTTTCCCCTCCTCCTCCCCCCCCTCCTCTTCCTCTCCCTCCTCCTTCAGGCGGGGGGCTGGGGTGCTGAGGGGGGGGGGGGAGGGGAGCAGGGAGGCCCTGACCGTAGTCGACCCCCTGGGCCCCGTGCGAGGCGACCCCTGCGCCGCCCTCCGCGACCCCCTGGGGCTGCGTCCGGGGAGGCGGGCCACGGCCCCGTCCCAGCGCCCGGGCCACGCACCCCTCGGCGGTCGGCGGCGAGGCGGCGCTCCGATTTTGCAGAGGAGCAAAAAGTGCGGGCGGGCTCCGCTTCCGCCGCCTCCCCCGCCTCCTCCCTCCTCCGTCGCCGTGCCTCCCCGCTCCCTCCTCCCCCCCTTCGTCGCCTCTCCTCGTCTCTCTTTCCCCTCTCTTCCTCCTCCTCCTCCTCCTCCTCCTCCTCCTCCTCCTCCTCCTGCTGTACTGCTGCTGCTCCTGCTCCTCCTCCTCATCCTTTTCCTTCCTCCCCTCCTCCTGCTGCTGCTCTCCCTCTCCTCATTCCTCCTCCTCCTCCTCCTCCTCTCATCCTCTCCCTTTCTCCTCCTCCCCTCCTCATCCTCCTCCTCCTCCTCCTCCTCCTCCTCCTCCTCCTCCTCCCCCCCTCCGTCGCCTCCCCTCACCGTTCCTCTTCCTGTCCCCCCCGCCACCACACCCCCTCCTTGTCTGTATGCTCTCCTCCCACCGTCCGTGCGCTGACTGGCCGTCGGGCCGCCAGCGAGTGGACGCGAGAGAGTCTCGCGAACCGATTTTTTCACGGTCAATAGCACCTTCGAGGAGCAAATAGCCACGATCCTCGACAGTGCCCTGCGGGGCCCAGAGGGGAGCGCCTACGAGGATAGCGAGGACGCAAGGCGCCTAACATTTCTGGCTGAGTCCCGCGGGACCCAGAGGACGACGAGGACGGTTTCGCTTGGCGTGGCTAGAGGGACGACGGTTCGACCGGCAATCTCTTTGTCAGTAACTTCGGAGGCCCGAGGGTATGTACAGCGCAATGGGTCCAGCTGTATGGATGGCCACAGATGCCTTCCGTGGACCTTGCAGGCTGGACGAGTCAGGCCCTATAGCGGATTGTTTTTGTTTCTTGTCGTCCCTAGGCCTCCCGCGGACCTCGCAGGCTGGACGAGTCTGGGCCCAGCGGCTTGTCTTGTTTTCCCCAACCCTCCTGCGTTGGGCATTCGTTCTGAATATAGCACTGCGGTCGCGACCCGCCTCTCCCGCCCCCTCTCCCCTTCTCTCCTGCCTCTCGCCTGCGCAGGCCTCGCCATCCCTGGGGGGCGGCGGTCTGCGAAACGATCGCAACTTTCGAGGGCTGCTGGGGGGCCCGCATGGTGGGTACCCGCCGTAGATTCAGATTGGACCTCGCCACCCCTGGGGGGCTGCGATCTGTGAAACGATCGCCACTTTCGAGGGCTGCTGGGGGGCCCGCATGGTGGGTACCCGCCGCAGATTCAGATTGGACCTCGCCATCCCTGGGGGGCTGCGATCTGCGAAACGATCGCCACTTTCAAGGGCTGCTGGGGGGGCCAGCATGGTGGGTACCCGCCGCAGATTCAGATTGGACCTCGCCATCGCTTGGGGGCTGCGGTCTGCGAAACTGTCGGACTTTTCGAGGGCTGCTGGGGGGCCAATATAGTGGGCACTCGCCGCAAGTTCAGATTGGACCTCGCCTTCCCTGGGGGCCTGGGGGGCTGCGATCTGTGAAACTGTCGCTATTAGCAGGGGCTGCTGGGGGGATAGCATAGCGTTACTCGCCGCAGATTCAGATTAGACCTCGCCATCCCTGGGGGCCTGCGATCTGCGAAACTACTGCCGCTTTCGAGGGCTGCTGGGGGCCCAGCATAGTGGGCACACGCCGCAGATTCACATTGGACCTCGCCTTCCCTGGGGGGCGGCGGTCTGCGAAACTGTCGCCATTTGCGAGGACTGCTGGGGCCCACCAATAGTGGGCATTCGCCGCATATTCAGATTAGACCTCGCCATCCCTGGGAGGCTGCGATCTGAGGGCTGCACCTCGCCATCCTTGGGGGGCTGCGACCTGCCAAACTATCGCAACTTTCGAGGACTGCTGGGGGCCAGCATAGTGGGCCACACCCCCGGTACCCGTGTGCGTGACAGGTGCCACAGAATTTCAGACCTCATTTTAGCAAGCACACCACCCGCCACAGTGTGAGTGTCGTGGCCCCGACAGTAACAGTGACCCCGCATGTGGGGAAAAATCTTTGAGTCGGGGAAATTACGGTGATGTCGCAGAACAACGGCAGACACGGAGTAGTCAACCTAGCACTATGTTAGTGGTAGCTGTGCGTCACACACACCTGTCACATGTGCACTACAGACGTATATATTCGCCGGGAGACGAGGAGACGAACCTCTGTCCAAGATGTCTAGACGCCCTACTTTGGCACGTGGGACGAGTAATATAGCACAGAAGCATCTGCGAAACTGTCGCCACTGTCGAGGGCTGCTGGGGGGCCAGCATAGTGGGTACACGCCGCAGATTCAGATTGGACCTCGCCATCCCTGGGTGGCTGCGATCTGCGAAACTGTTGCCACTTTCGTGGGCTGCTGGGGGGCCAGAATAGTGGATACTCGCCGCAGATTCAGCTTGGACCTCGCTATCCCTGGGGGGGTGCGATCTGCGAAACGATCGCAACTTCCGAGGGCTGCTGGGGGGGCCAGCATAGTGAGCATTCGCCGCAGATTCAGATTGGACCTCGCCATCCCTGGGGGGCTGCGATCTGCGAAACTGTTGCCACTTTCGTGGGCTGCTGGGGGGGGCAGCATAGTGGGTGCTCGCCGCAGATTCGCCAGCTACGGTTCCCTCCCACCACTTTCATCGTCACCCGATTCACTCTGTTACCTTCTCCATGCTGCTGCTGCCGCGATAGCTCCCCGCCCCCACAATTCCGCCATTCTCCTGCCCGTCGTCCCCGCTCCCGTTCTTATTCAAGCCCGGGGCCCCAATCCTCGATCTGTCGATCACTGTCCTGTGAGTCGCGCAACGTGCGCGCATCCCATGTATCTTGCACAACGAATCGTAGGGTACTTTCTTCTCGTCCCTCCTTCCCTGCCCACTGCCCGCGTCCCCCTCGTCGGACCGCAGGCGGACCGCCGGCGGGACGCGGAGGAGGAGGAGGAGGAGGAGGAGGAGGAGGAGGAGGAGGAGGAGGAGGAGGGAGGAGCGAGGAGGGAGGAGGAGGAGGAGGAGGAGGAGGAGGAGGAAGAGGAGGAGGAAGAGGAGGAGGAAGAGGAGGAGGAGGGGGGCAGGAGTCCCGGGCAGGAGGAGGAGGAGGAGGAGGAGGAGGAGGAGGAGGAGGAGGAGGAGGAGGAGCAGGAGGAGCAGGAGGAGCGGGAGGAGGATGATGATGATGAGGAGGAGGAGGAAGAGGGCGAGGAGGAGGAGGAGGACCCGCGTAAACTCGAGACGCATCAGCAATGATGCTATAAGCCCTCCCTCCGTGGACCCTCTTCATGGGGCCCTACACGAATCTGTTGTTCTTTGCTCGAAATGCCCCCCATTGGAAGGCAATCGCCTGAGAATCCTCAACCGTGCTAAAACGCCATTCATGGGACCTTCGCGTTGCGAAGCAACGTGGCGGTTGCGTCCTGGCAGCCCTCAATCGTACCACGGCATGATTCCTGGGACTTGTATGTTGAATATTTGAATCAGCTTGAATGTTGCGTCCTGGTAATGCTAAATATTGCCACGCACATTTCTGGGACGTCGACCGTGCGAATCCTTGATGCTGCTGTAAACTTCCCGAGCGAAAGCGCACGGCGCTCAGGCGAGAATCGCACTTTGGAAAATAATCGCCATTTGGATGAGGAGGAGGCGGAGGAGGAGGCGGATGAGGAGGAGGAGGAGGAGGAGGCAGGAACGGGAGGAACAGGATGAGCAGGGCCAGGGAAAGGCAGAGGATGGGCAAGACGGGGGATGGCAACGGTGAGGAAGGAATCGGATCCAGAAGCGTGGCTCGCGCTGGGGTGAGAAGGGGCCGCCAGCAAATCACCAATCCTGGAACGTAGCCAAGGCAAAGTGCAACAGCACAGATCGAGCGCCTGACACGCGGGATCACCACTGGACATTGTGAGAACCATATCATAGCGCGGCATTGCGGAGGGAGGAGAGACTACGGAATACAAACGAGACAGGAGGAAGGATAAGGCGCGGCAGGAGGAGGTGGTGGAGGTGGGGATGAGCGAGTAGAAGGACACGTGGACTGAGTTTTGGAGGACAAGCATATCGAAGGCGATTACGGTGAACCACTGCCGCCCCCTGCCGGTTGGAAACGTCATGTGGGTTGTGCCAAAGCTTGGCCAAGCTATTAGGCTATGTGTTCCCCACGCCTTTGTGAAAATCCTTGGGGCAACACTGGGGGGAAGGAGAGAGAGAGAGAGAGAGAAAGAAAGAAAGAAAGACAGAGAGAGAGAGAGATGAATAGGAGAGGGAGTAGAAGGAGAAGGAGGACGAGGAAGAGGAGGCGTCCTGTGGGCTTCCTGGGGACATCTTGGGGGCCTCATGAGGGCCTCTTGGGGGCGTCCTGGGGCCTCTTGGGAGCCCTTGGTGGCCTCTCAGGAACCTTCTGGCCTTCGGAGGCTGACTTGCCTCACTGGTGGCCTCATCGGGACGCTTTTGGATTCTCGTGGGTCTCTGGGGTGGACCCTCCTGGGGCCGTCTTGAAGGTCTCTTGGCTTGGTCCGTCTTGGGGCCCCTACCGAAGCTTATGGGGCTGTTTGGGGGATCTATTGGGAACCTCCTGCGACAAATGGTGTGTTTTGCTGCCTCTTCGGGCCCTCCTGGAGGGCTTCTTCGAGCCCTCTTGGGGCATCTTGGGGACATTTCGGACCGTCTGGAGGCCGTCTGGGTCGTCTTGGGGGCCTCTGGGGCCGTCTTGAGCCATCTTGGAGCCAGCTGAGACCCGCTTGCGGCCATCTTGGTTGTGTTTGAGGCAGTCTTGGAAGCCATCTTGGTCGTCAGGAAGGTACGGTGGGGCTCTTTGGGGTCATTTGTTGTTCGCCATGGTCTTTCCAGATGGCAGGCTGGATGAGCTGAGAGAGTCAGAAAGATTCGAAACCTTGGCACACCAAGAATTCCTTTGCGAGCAAAAGGAGCCGGCGGACAACTGGCCGTCGGCACATCCCGCCACCGTGTCTGGGTCGTGGACAAAGGGCCTCTTGCATGCCTCTTTGGACCTCTTGGGGGCCTCTTGGAAGCCTCTGGGGCATCTTGGGGCCGTCTTGGGAGCCTCATGTGCCCTCTTGGGAGCCCCGGGGGGCCGTCTTGGAGCGATATGTGGGGGCTCTTGGGCCGCCCTGGGCGCCCTGAAGACGAAACAGGTGCGCATGCGAGCTATGTTCGTTTCCACTGTGTTTGCCCTCGTGTCGGCCTCTAAGACGGCCCAAGAGGCTTCCAAGAGGATTCCAGGACGAGCCTTGAGACCATCTTATTTCGGAAGTTTGGTTTCTAAGCCATGCCCCTAGTGCCTCTGAAACGGCCACGCGGGGATTCCCAACAGCGCGGACGAACTCCCAGGAGGTCCCTTCAAAACCGTTGACTTACAGTGTTCACTATTTCAGAGAACTCGAAGGGACCTGATGACACTCCACGCTGGGCCTACGGCACGGTGGCGAATAATTGCGGTTGTATGTTGGTGGGATGAGGTGGAGAAGGACGAGACGGAGGATGAGGGGAGGATAGGAGGAGGAGGAGGAGAAGGAGGAGGAGGAGGAGCAGGAGGAGGAGGAAACGGAGAAGGATAATGCTGATGAGAAGAAGGAGGAAGATGAGAAGGAGGAGGGGTGGGTGGAGAGTAGAAGGAGGAGAGGAGGATCAGGAGAAGGATGACGAGGTGGTGGAGATGGAGGAGGAGAAGGGCGAGATCAATAATGAATGACATGGTGGAGAGAGAATGAAGATATCAAGACCGAGCAGGGCGGGACAGATGCTCGGGCTTAAAACCAGGACGAGCATGGGGAGGACGAGGAGGGAAAAACCTCAGTGGCGTAGGAGGGTGAGGAGGAGGATGATGAGGATGATGATTAGGAGGAGGAGGGGGTGGAGGAGGAACATGCGGATGATGACGGGGATGTTGTTGCTGCAGCTGTTGACGACGACGACGAGGTTGCTGCTGATGACAATGTTGATCATCATTATGGTGATGAAGGCGACAACGACGCGGATGCTGTTGATGATGATGATGACGATGATGAGGATGAGGATGACGATGAGGAAAATGATGTTGTGGCTGATGATGATGCTGATGACGATGATGATGGTGATGATGATGCTGCTGATGATGATGCTGATTGTGATTATGCTGCTGGTGATGATGATGATGATGAGGATGAGGATGAGGATGAGGATTAGTATAAGGACGATGACGATGCTGGTGAATGTGATGGCGATGGTGATGTTGAGGATGTTGTTGTTGATGGGGATGAAGATGGTGATACTAATGGTGATGGTGATGATGATGACGATGACGGTGAGGCTGCTGATTATGATGATGATGATGAGGAGGAGGAGGAGGATGGGGAGGAGGACGATGACTCTGCTTCGGAAGCTTAAAAAGATGATGATGATGATGATGATGATGATGATGATGATGATGATGATGGTGACGATGATGATGCTGATGATGATGACGATGATGATGATTCTGCTGCTGATGATGATGATGATGATGATGATGATGATGATGATGATGCCGATGCTGATGCTGCTGCCTCTGCTGCTGATGATGATGAGGATGAGGATGAGGATGAGGATGAGGAGCAGCAGGAGAAGTAGGAGGACTGCCGCATGAGGGTGGGAGCAGCAAAGTGTTGGTGTTCTGCGAGAGGAATCTGAAGGCCACGAGGAGGTGTCTGCAGTGACGCTTCCATGGGGGCAGGCCATATGGATGGACACGAGCCTCGAGGGCGTGCTGAAGATAGGCTTCCGGCCCTGCCTAACCTGCTGCTCCAAAGGTGCGCACGGAGGAAGTGTCCCCTCAGATTCTGCGGGGCGCCCTTGTATTTGTGCGGTCTCTCGAGCGGTTCCTATCTGTGCCAGGCAGGCCTCTGCCGGGGCGCACGCGAGTGGACGTCCCACGCTGTTTCTCTGCTGCTTTCTTTTGCCTTGCCGTGTGGCTCCACCGTCCCAGCCACGAGCAGAGCATGGCCACAGCTGTGCGTTGCACGGGCATCTCGCCCCCCGCCCCACTCCTCCCTTGCTCGCGCGGCTGCTCCCAGTTTCCCTCCGCCTCCGCCTCCTGGCCCTCCTCCCTCCCCGTTTCCCCTCTCGCTCTCCCTGCTCCGGCTCCTTCTGCTCCTCCTCGGCCTGCCCCTCAGCACTTGTGCGGTTGAGTAACGCGATCGTCTGAAGAAAAGCATGCAACAGTGGAGTTTGTTCTGATTGTATGCGTTGGCGCCCCACCCAGAGTATCTTCCCCCAAAAGAGTAGTCGTCTCCTGCTGTGGATGTCCATACATTGTCCCTCTGCTTTCCCCGTTTGTGCTGAATCTCCTACATCTACCTCGTCATCTCCGTTGTTGATTCCCTTTCCCTCCCTTCCTCAATATGATTATCATGTTATTTCTATGGCATTGTGTGTTTCCTGTGTGTGTGTGTCTCTCTCTCTCTATCTCTCTTCTCTTTGTTATTTTCTCTAAACAGGACATTTCGAAATCACATTTACCTCTCCGGGGGAGTAGAGCTCAGAAGCGATTGCGGTGTCGTCCGCTTTTTTTCTGGCCGCTTCGCTCGGGACGTCCTCCAAATTCCGAGAAGAACAAAAGCAGACGCACCCCTCACGCAAATCGCGACGTCACGGTCCCAAAGCAGACCCTTTTGCAATCATGTTATGAGAAGACCGTCACCAACACTATGGAATTCAATCCTTTAGAACCCGATGTTAAACACGTTGCAATTCATCCTGGGACATTCTCCAAACATCGAGCCCCTTTTTCAATCGTTCTTTCAAACAAAATTGCGAACACTAGAATAAGCAGTTTCGCCTAAGACATTCTCCCCGAATCAAGCCCCGGCGCACAACACAGAGAATTACCCTGGCGACGTACTCAACCCCTGCGCAATGCGGGGCAGGAGTAACTTGGGAGATCAGACGAGAAGGCGGCGACGTGACATGGACGCATCTACTTCTGCGAGCGGCATTCGGAAGGTTCGCAGGTCCCCAATTAAGGGAAAAACGATGAGTAACTACATGAACCCCTGAGTCACTAAGAAAGACGCAAGGTCCAAAAGGAGAATGTGGGCAAGGGGCTTGAAACGTCGGCGGGGCAGCAACAGCATGACATGGTCCCCCAGGGACAGCGAGATTCCGCTCACAGCCTTCGAAAGTGGCGAGCCCACCAGCAGCCCTCGAAAGTGGCGACCGTTTCGCCGATCGCAGCCCCCCAGGGACGGCGAGGTCTCCCCTCAGGTCCGCGCAGTGCTTCACTCCGACCCACCAGCAGCCCTCGAAAGTGGCGACGGTTTCGCGGATCGCAGCCCCCCAGGGACGGCGAGGTCTCGCTCAGGTCCGCGCGGTGCCTCGCTCCGCTGGACCCACCAGCAGCCCTCGAAGGTGGCGACAGTTTCGCAGATCGCAGCCCCCCAGGGACGGCGAGGTCTCGCTCAGGTCCGCGCGGTGCCTCATTCCGCTGGACCCACCAGCAGCCTTCGAAAGTGGCGACAGTTTCGCAGATCGCAGCCCCCCAGGGACGGCGAGGTCTCCCTCAGGTCCGCGCGATGCTTCACTCCGCTGGACCCACCAGCAGCCCTCGAAAGTGGCGACAGTTTCGCAGATCGCAGCCCCCCAGGGACGGCGAGGTCTCGCTCAGGTCCTTCTTTTTCTGCTCCCCGCCACCCCTCCTTCTCCCGGAGACGGGTGCCTCCCTTCGTCCCCCTTCACTCTCCTTGTTTTCCCTTCTCCCTTCTACCTTCCGCTACCTCACCCCGTCTACCGCCCCCCTTCTCTTTTGTTTTTTCCCGCGACGGGCGGTTTGCCTCACTCCAATGGACCCACCAGCAGTCCTCGAAAGTGGCGATTGTTTCGCAGGTCGCAGCCCCCCAGGGACGGCGAGGTCTCCCTGAAGTCCGCGCGGTGCCTCACTCCAGTGGACCCGCCAGCAGCCCTCGAAAGTGGCGACGGTTTCGCAGATCGCAGCCCCCCAGGGACGGCGCGGTCTCGCTCAGGTCCGCGCGGTGCCTCGCTCCGCTGGACCCACCAGCAGCCATCGAAAGTGGCGACAGTTTCGCAGATCGCAGCCCCCAGGGACGGCGAGGTCTCGCTCAGGTCCGCGCGGTGCCTCGCTCCGCTGGACCCACCAGCAGCCCTCGAAAGTGGCGACAGTTTCGCAGATCGCAGCCCCCCAGGGACGGCGAGGTCTCGCTCAGGTCCGCGCGGTGCCTCGCTCCGCTGGATCCACCAGCAGCCCTCGAAAGAGTGGCGACAGTTTCGCTGATCGCAGCCCACCAGGGACGGCGAGGTCTCGCTCAGGTCCGCGCGGTGCCTCGCTCCGCTGGACCCACCAGCAGCCCTCGAAAGTGGCGACAGTGTCGCTGATCGCAGCCCCCCAGCGACGGCGAAGAGAGGGAAGGAGGAGGGAGGAGGCGGGAGGAAGGATGGACGCGCGAACCGTGCTCTATTCAAAACGACTGCCCAACCAAGGAGGTAGGCAATAACGCAGAACCTACACACTGCACACCAAACACACCACACACAACACATACTATACAAAGCACGTACAACACACATAACACAGACAGAGAGCACACACCCACACACACACACACACACACACACACACGCACGCACGCACGCACGCACACACGCACGCACACACGCACGCACACGTACACACTTTTTGCGTCGGCGGCTATGCAGAGTGACTGCGCTGGCGGAGAGAGCATGCGTAAGGCATACAGGTGCGAATTGGGCCGCGATGCGCGTGGGGGAGCGAAGGGAAGGCCCCGCGCGGACGGGAGTACACACAGACACATCACACACAGCACACCCAACATAAGCAACATACAGAGACCGCACACACACACAACACACATCTCACACACATAACGCGCATAACGCACGACCCATACCTAACTCACACTTAGCACACACGCGCAACACACGCACGCAACACACACACAACACACATAACACGCACCTTACACACCACACACACAGCCTGCACATGTGCTGGTATGAATCTGGGCACACGCGCCCCACTCGTACATCAACATATATATATATATATATATATATATACACACAAGTGGCACGTGTGTGCCCAGGCTCATACAAAACAAACAACTGAAAGGGCGTTTGAAGCAGGACGACACCATGACGGCGGGATCGGAGATGGAGAAGGGGAAGCTGGGGCGGCGCCGGCAGGGCGTGCCAGGCCCCAGGATTGTGAGTGTTGTGTGTGTGTGTGTGATGTGTGCTCTGTGTTGTGCCTGTTTTCTGTGCGTTGTAGGTGTTGTGTGTATTGTGTTTGTCTAGCGTGTGATGTGTTGGGTGTGACTTGTGTCTCTGTGCGTGCATGTAGTTCTGAGGCCCGAGGAGGCCCCAGGAGGCCCCAGGCGGCCTCAGGAGGCCCCAGAAGACCCCAGGAGGTTCCAGGAGGCCCCAAGAGGCTCCAGGAGGCCGCAGGAGGCCCCAGGAGGCCCCAGGAGGTTCCAGGAGCATCCCCCAGGATGCTCCGAGGCGGGGTCTGGGGTACCAGAAGGTACGGAAAGCCCTAGGAGGCCCCAGGAGGTTCCAGGAGGCCCCCAGGAGGCTCCGAGGCGGGGTCTGGGGTACCAGAAGGTACGTCGGGGCTTGTTTTTTGGAGGATACCTCAGGCGAAACCGCCATCCTCTGAGAATCGGGGTCAAAATGATTGAAATTACCATGCGTGTTTGAATATTTCATGTTGAAATGTTGAACTTCCCATTTGCTTTTGGACCCTGACGTCACGATCTGTGTCAGGGGTGCCACCGGCTTTCAGAATTTCGAGGACGTCCCTGGCGAAGCGGCAAGACAAATCGCGAACGACGCGGCGCGTACGCATTAATCGCCTCTGAGCTCTACTCCTTCAGAGAGGTGCGTATGATAATATATATATATATATATATATATATATATAGATTTATATATAGAGGACCTATGTAGGATCAGGAAGGACAAATAGACGCAGACACACACACACATACACACACACACGCACACGCACACGCACACGCACACGCACACGCACACGCACACGCACACGCACACGCACACGCACACGCACACGAACACGCACACGCACACGAACACGCACACGCACACGCACACGCACACGCACACGCACACGCACACGCACACGCACACGCACACGCACACGCACACGCACACGCACACGCACACGCACACGCACACGCACACGCAAACGCACACGCACACGCACACGCACACGCACACGCACACGCACACGCACACGCACACGCACACGCACACGCACACGCACACGCACACGCACACGCACACGCACACGCACACGCACACGCACACGCACACGCACACGCACACGCACACGCACGCGCACGCGCACGCGCACGCGCACGCGCACGCGCACGCGAACGCGCACGCGCACGCGCACGCGCACGCGCACGCGCACGCGCACGCGCACGCGCACCGCGCACGCGCAGCGGACCGCTCCCCCCCGCCCTGCACGCGCACGCGCACGAGCCGCGCAGCGCACGCGCACGCGCACACGCGCACGCGCACGCGACACGCGTCACGCGCACGCGCACACGCACGCACCACACACGCACACACACACAATACACACAACCACGTCGATGCCCCAGGAACTGTGGGAAAGCATGGGAAGTGGAGGGGAGGACGACAATCCTGAACCGATCGAACAAATTATAAGGGACTGCTGGGACGTGTGTCCTTTTTTCTGTGTGTCCCTGGGCCCCTGCGCAGGCGGCCTCTGAAAGCTTGCGGCAGCCCCGCGCCTCTCGCGTCGCCCCCCCCCCCCCGCAAAACGCCCGAGCCTCGCGGGCATCGCCTGAGCTTCGTGGCGGGTCTCGCGGCCTCTTCGGCGAGGCCAACGCCTTCGTGAGCAAAAGTTGCATTGGAGACCCATGCCAAGAAAAACCATGCTCGCCTCCAGGGTGCCGTTGATTTCTTGGGTTTCGATGGTTTTGCGATGGACAGCGTCACGTTTCCCACACCCATTACTCCAACGGTAGGACCCCACATGAGAATCCATTTAGCTTGCCCATTGCCATTTTCCTCTTCGACTGGCGCAGGCGCTCCTTCCGAGTTTGCGTCCTCCTCTTCATCATCATCGTCCTTCTCGCCCCCATTGGGAGGGGGCTCCCGCCTGAGACTTCCTCGCAATTCAAATACAGGACGAGGCTCCCGTCTGAGACTTCCTCTATGTTCAGGCATGAGGAGCCCAAGAGTCACGACAGTCACTGGACTTGCACGACCCGCTCGGGGATTGAACATGAAAATGCGGCCCCAGGGAGAAGGGGCTCCCGCGAGGTCTTCGAACATATTTCTAGACGCCTGCCTGCCGTATGTCTCAGTTCTTTTATGTTCCGAGGTGATTTGCAGGCACGCATTGCAACGAACGGCGATGGATGACCTGCTCGGATTCGAAAATGAAGCGCGGGCCCCATAGGGAGGGAACTCCCGCCTGAGACTCCCTCACGATCCACTCACAAACGAGGCTCCCGTCTGAGATCGCTTTTCTGCTCAGGCCTGAGGAGCCAAAAATGACGTCGGTTACCGGATTTGGATGGCCCGCCCGGATTCGAACATGAAGTGCGGGCCCATTTATAAGGAGGGGACTCCCGCCTGAAACTTCCTCGCGATCCACTCACAGACGAGGCTCCCGTCTGAGACTCCCTCTACATTCAGGCCTGAGGAGCCGAGAAACGACAGTTGCAGGATTTGGATGTCCCGCTCGGATTCGAACAGGAAGTGTGGGCCCCTACAAGGAGGGGACTCCCGCCTGAGACTTTCTCGCGATTCGCTCACACACGAGGCTCTCGTCTGGGACTGCCTATATGTGCAGGCCTGAGTAGCCCAAAAGTGACGACAGTCACTCGATTTGGATGGCCCGCTCGGATTCGAACATGAAGTGCGGGCCCCTTTATAGGGAGGGGACTCCCGCCTGAGACTTCCTCGCGATCCACATAGGCGAAGCTCCTTTTTGGCCGATGACCATGATGGGATGGTGGTAGTGATAAATGTGTGATGATGAGTGATGGTGAATGATGATGGGCTGGTGATGGTGATGGTGAGCGATGAAGATGCTGATGACGATGATGCTGGATGGTGACGGTGATGATGATGGTGGGTGATGAGTGACTGAGCGAGAGAGTGAGCGGGTGACCATGATGACCGGCGATCATGATGGAATGGTGATGACAGGAGGAGGGGGTGAGGTGTGATGTTCCTGCGCGGAGGTGTGCATAGAAAGCAAGAGCCCCATTTAGGATGTGGGGGAACAATCCATGGTTTTCCTGGGGTCTCAGGGTGGGGTTTCTTGTGGGAGGTTTCTTGTGGACTGGCCTCCATTGTAATTCCGTCTTCAGCGTCGTTGAGCGTCGAGCGACGTCTGATAATCAACGAGATCGCGCCGATTTGGCGCCGGCTGGCGTCGGTTAGCGTCGATGCAGCGTCGAGTTAGCGTCGATCGCCGTCGATGAGCGTCGATTGGCGCCGATACCATCGGCCAACAAGATGGTAGTGGAGGCTCCCATGAGTTGCCACAGGAAGCGCCTTGTCACAGCGGTCACCCGCCAGCTGACGAGGAGGCTTCGCCACTATCGTCATTGCCTCCATCATCGTCGGCGGTATCGTCGGCGTTGCCCTCATGAATGTCTCCGCCCACCAAAATATTTTTATTCCAACCCAAAGACCCCAATTTGCCGTCCGTACCCAGTGGGGTAGAACACGTGTGGAAGCCCTTCCCCCCACCCCGACATTTGAGTCTTCGGGTCGGGCGGAGGACGCGTAATGGGGGGGCGATAAATAGGGGGGCAGCGAGGGCTGCAGACAAGGGGCCCTTCAGGGCCCCTTTCAGGGGCCCTTTGTGGCTTTAGGGCCCAAGAGAGGGCTTCTAGGGCCCGTCAAGGGCATGCGTATTCCCCCCACCCTGTATCGCCTTCCCCCCCCCTAGTACTTCGCGCCCAAGTTGGGCTGGGGTGGTTTGGTAGGTGGTCAGCTTGGCCTGCCCCCGCTGGCCCGCACCGCAGGCCCCCTGCGCCGCGGCGAGTCCCAGCTCCTCGGCGAGGCTTCCGCGCAGCAGTCGAAGGGCAAGTTCACCAGGCCCCCGCCCGCCTGCGGTGCGGCCTCGCACGCGCTGCCGCGCCCTGCTCGCGGGTGGCATCCCTCCCCAGGGGGAGGGAGGAGGAGGAGGAGGAGGAGGAGGAGGAGGAGGAGGAGGAGGAGGAGGAGGAGGAGGAGGAGGAGGAGGAGGAGGAGGAGGAGGAGGAGGAGGAGGAGGAGGAGGGAGGAGGAGGAGGAGGGAGGAGGAGGAGGAGGAGGAGGAGGAGGAGGAGGAGGAGGAGGAGGAGGAGGAGGAGGAGGAGGAGGAGGAGGGGAGAAGGGAGACGTGAGAAGGGAGAAGGGGGAAGGGGGAAGGTAGTAGGAGGAGGCGGAGGAGGAGGAGGCGGAGGAGGAGGAGGAGGAGACAGCCTGTGCAAGCTTGCCCCAGACTCGGCTTGCATCGCGCGTGGGAGTGCAGCGCCAAGGACGAGGAGAGGGGTGAGCCAACAGACTACACCATAAGAGATGCTCAAGACAACTTAAGTTTTCGGCCAGAGTCTCGATGATTCTTAACGTTTCAATGTAAATCTTAAGATTTTGATAGAAACGTTGGGCTTTTATTCAAGTTCTGAGACTATGAGTTTCTTAACCCATGATTTCTTAAGCATTTCGCAGGGTGAATGCTTTTTCGTTAACAAAAAACGCAGCCCTGGCAGCAGGTCCCCATGACCCACTGTCTGCCAGGGTGTGGCTGCCAATCTCGACTCCCAGGGCCCCTCCCGACATGAAAGGGCACATGTAATTCCTGGACGCTCAGGGCAGCACCGAACCCTTCGAGTTCGAGAGTGACGACGAAGTGTTGTTCGACGGAAGTTGCTTCGGACCGAAGTTCTCTGGATCACGAGGGGCCCGTGCGGGCTGGGCTGCTGCCGCCACCGACCCTGAAGGCGTGTTCAAGCGGGCAGTCGTCGGTAATGCTTCAGGTTCAAGAGCTCCGAGGGCCTCTCTGATTTAGGGAAGCCTAACGTGGCAGGCAATGAGCTTGCGGATGAGTATGCCCAACGTGGAGCCCGTATACACTCTGCGACCCAGAAAGTAGGAATTAGTTCTTCTCTCGAGTACGATCAATGGCTCAATGTGGCCAAGAATATGTGTAAGATACTTGGGCTGTGGCCAGGATCCAAGGAGCTCCTGGGCGATGTAGTGCGGTACCCCAGAGCCCGTGCTCCCAGGACCCTGAACCCAGGGGTCCTCCATCAAGTCTTGTGGAGCTGCTCGAGGTGGCAGTGTGTAGCCTGTGCTGGGGCGTTCAAGGACCCACCTGGCAGCAACAGTGCTTGTGGTCACTTAACTCCGCAGGGGGCACGCGCTGAAGGAACGCACGGGGCCTGACAGGGCCCACGTCATTCGTGTGGCCCGCCCCCTCAGAACAGGGATCGGGATGGTCTTCTGCAAGAGGTGCGGAGCATACTGCTCAGGCACCCCCCAGGCGTCTGTAGGGTCCCTGCGATACGGTGGGGGCGTTGGTTGAGGAATGTGCCCACGAGCCTTCAGACCCCGGACCATTCCAAAGCGGGTGAGGGCGGCGGTGATATCCATGGCCAGTCCGCGATTGGAGTTACCTCAGCTTCCAGACCCTGGATTCCTTATCCAGGGGGTCCTTCTTCAATGCCCTCACCGCAAAGTTTTCAAGGCACAGAAGAGAGTGCTGGCGTCGGGCCAAGCTCCCGTGGCCAATTTTTTTGATTCGCGGTTCGAGAGCGCACCTCTTCCAGTCGAAGCTAAGCGGGCCGCGCGAAGCTTGAATTAACCAGAGATGGGGGAGGAAACGGGGGGCGCAGCCTCAGAACGAGGCCGGGAGGAGGCAAAGCCTCGGGATCAGGCGGTGCCGAAGTCGACGTACTTTCAAAGGAGCGCCTTTTCCATGAACCCAGTGGCGGAGTACCGGTTGAAGCAAAATGCTCCCGTGGCCAAAGGGCCACCGTTCTTTCCCCACATGTTTAGTGGGGTTCTGGTTTTCCTCACTGCCGCGCCGCACCCGCGTCTCACCTCCTCCCCCCTCCTCTTCTTCCCCACATGTTTCGTGGGGTTCTGGTTCCCCACATGTTTCGTGGGGTTCTGGTTTTCTTCCCTGCCGCGCCGCACCCGCGTCTCACACCTCCCCCCTCCCCTTTTCCTTCTCGCACCAGAGCGGGTGTGCAGGGGGGTGGTCCCTGAGCTCGGCCGCTATGCAGCAGAGCACAGCACAGCACAGCACAGCACGGCACGGCACAGCACAGCACAGCTCACCGCACAGCAGCACAGCACAGCACAGCACAGCATAGCACACAGGGCATTCCTTCGACGCCACAGGGAGTGCGCTGGGGGTGGGGGCCCTATGCGTTGTAGGCTCCCAGGGCGTGGCAGGCGTGGCATTTCCTCGACGCCACAGTGGGTGCGCTGGGGGTGGGGGCCCTATGCGTTGTAGGCTCCTAGGGCGTGGCAGGCGTGGCATTTCCTCGACGCCACAGGGGGTGCGCTGGGGGTGGGGGCCCTATGCGTTGTAGGCTCCCAGGGCGTGGCAGGCGTGGCATTCCTCGACGCCACAGGGGGGTGCGCTGGGGGTGGGGGGCCTATGCGTTGTAGGCTCCCAGGGCGTGGCAGGCGTGGCATTTCCTCGACGCCACAGGGGGTGCGCTGGGAGGTAGTAGGAGGAGGAGGTAGAGGAGGAGCAGGATGAGGAGGAGGAGGAGGAGGAGGAGGAGGAAGGAGGAGGAGGAGGAGAGTGAGGAGGAGGAGGAGGAGGAGGAGGAGGGAGGAGGGAGGAGGAGGAGGAGGGAGGAGGAGGAGGAGGAGGAGCAGGAGGAGGAGGAGGAGGAGGAGGAGGAGGTGGAGGAGGAGGAGGTGGAAGAGATGCCGATGCCGTCGCTCGTCCTGGAGAGCTCTCGTCGCCTCGGCCGGATTCTCCCCGAAGTCTGGTCCGACTGAGGCCCTGGATGGGCCCCGGGAGTGGTGGGATCGGTGCATTTTTGCTGCCCCCCACCATCTTCGGGTCGGCGGCGTCGACTCTCTCAGCACAGCAGCACTCGCGCAGCTTCAGCATCGGTCGTGGGCGAAAAAATGCGAACGAAGTTCCCCACATGGTGTTTTGTTCCCAGCCCTCCTTGGCTGGATATTCGTTCTGAATACAGCACTGCTCGCGCGTCCTCCTCCTCCCGCCTCCTGCCTCCCGCCTCCTGTCTCCCGCGAGACCTCGCCGTCCCTGGGGGGGGCTGCGATCTGTGAAACTGTCGCCACTTTCGAGGGCTGCTGGTGGGTCCAGCGGACTGAGCGGGACCTCCCCGCGCTGCGATCAGCGAAACTGTCGCCACTTTCGAGGGCTGCTGGTGGGTCCAGCGGAGTGAGGCACCGCGCGGATCTGAGAGGGACCTCCCCGTCCCCGGGGGGCTGCGAACAGCGAACCTGTCGCCACTTTCGAGGGCTGCTGGTGGGTCCAGCAGGTTGAGGCACCGCGCGGATCTGAGCGGGACCTCCCCGTCCCCGGGGGGCTGCGATCAGCGAAATTGTCGCCACTTTCGAGGGCTGCTGGTGGGCTCGCCACTTTCGAAAGCTGCTGGTGAGTCCAGCGGAGTGAGGCACTGCGCAGACCTGAGCGGGGCCTCGCCGTCCTTGGGGGGCCATGTCATGCTGTTGCTGCCCCGCCGACGTTTCAAGCCCCTTGCCCACCGTCTCCTTTTGGACCTTGCGTCTTCCTTAGTGACTCAGGGGTTCACTTAGTTACTCATCGTATTTTCCTTGATTGGGGACCTGCGAACCTTCCGAATGCCGCTCGCAGAAGTATATGCGTCCATGTCACGTCGCCGCCTTCTCGTCAAATCTCCCAAGCTACTCCTGCCCCGCATTGCGCAGGGGTCGGGTACGTCGCCAGGGTAAGTTTTATTGGGGCGCGGACTTACAAAGGGGGGCGCCGAAGGTGTAGGAAGACGTATAGAGGGGGGCAACGAGAGCGACGCTATCGAATGGCATACAAGACTCTTGCACGAAATCTGATAAAGAACATGGTTTTCGAATACCCTCGCTCAGGCGGTGCCTCCCTGGAGGGGTGGAAGGGGCACGAAACCTGCTGAATAGCATGGTTGGTTTTCGACTACCCTCCTCGCTCAGGCGGTGCCTCCCTGGAGGGGTGGAAGGGGCACGAAACCTGCTGAATAGCATGGTTTTCGAATACCCTCCTCGCTCAGGCGCGGGGCCTCCCTTGAGAGTGGGAGAACCTGATGCATGGTTTTCGACTACCCTCCTCGCTCAGGCGGTGCCTCCCTGGAGGGGTGGAAGGGGCACGAAACCTGCTGAATAGCATGGTTTTCGAATACCCTCCTCGCTCAGGCGCGGGGCCTCCCTTGAGAGTGGGAGAACCTGATGCATGGTTTTCGACTACCCTCCTCGCTCAGGCGGTGCCTCCCTGGAGGGGTGGAAGGGGCACGAAACCTGCTGAATAGCATGGTTTTCGAATACCCTCCTCGCTCAGGCGGGGCCTCCTTGGAGGAATGGGAGGGGACGAAAACTGATACATAGCATGGTTTTCGACTACCCTCCTCGCTCAGGCGGGGCCTCCCTGGAGGAATGGGAGGGGACGAAAACTGATACATGGCATGGTTTTCGAATACCCTCCTCGCTCATGCGGGGCGTCCCTGAAAGAGTGGGGGGGGCACGAAACCTCATTAAGAGCATGGTTTTCGAATACCTTCCTCGCTCAGGCGGGGCCTCCCTGGAGGGGTGGGGGGGGCACGAAGCCTTGTAAACGCTATGGTATCCCGATGCTGTCCTCGCTCCGGCGAGGCTTCCCTGGAGTGGTAGGTATGGTATGGTAGCTTTGGTATTGTAGGTATGGTCTGGTATGGTAGGTGGCGTGGTATGGTTAGCATGGTATGGAAGGTATGGCTTCGGTATGGTATGTGGTAGGTATGATATGTGGTAGGTCTGGTATGGTAGGTGTGGAATTCGCATGGCATTGAACAGCATGGTATAGTAGGTATGGTATGGTACGGTACGTATGGTATGGTATGGTGGGGAGGCGGGAGAAGGAGAAGGAGGAGACGGAGAAGAAGGGGGTGTTCGAGGAAAACGAGAGCCCCACTCGGGATGTGGGGAACATCCGCACCCGCGGCCTCGCGGGCCGGGCCCTTCGGCCGCGACCCCGCGGAAACGGGGCACTTCTTCGCGGATGCCCCGCGCGGAACGCAACTCCGTGCGGCCGCGTCTCCCCGGGCTCGCCCCTGGAACCGAGCGTGCGAGGGCGTGGCTCCAGGCATGCCCCCCGCCCGTGAATCGGTGCGCGTGTGCGCCAGCAGAACACGTGGATCAGCTTTCGCCCTGCTGGGGAGGCTCCTGCTGGCGGTCTGGGGGGCCGCGCCGGTGCCGGCCTGGTGCGGGGGCCCCGGGGAGGCCCCAGTCCCTCCGTGCTCCCCGCCGTCGCCCCTCGGGCCCGCCGCCGGCGTCGAGGTTTCCGAGCGCACGTGCTCGTCGGTGCTTCGCGCGCCGCGGCAGCAGGTCGGCGAGGCCGGCGAAGCACTCAGCGCTGCCCGTCCGCGCTGGCCGTCGCGAGGTCGCCCTCCATGAAGATAGCCGTCTTCAACCAGGACAAGGTTGGCGCCCTCCAGAAGGCCCGCTCTGCTGCTCGATCTCTTGCGGCGCTCCGGGCTCCATCCTCCCTCGTCGGTTGCAGCAGTACGCTCCGCTCGCTCAAGGCGGGGCACGTCGGCCTCCCCATGCCAGACGCGAGCGGCCAGCATGCGTCGACCCAGTCCGCTCTGCCTCTGCTGGGACATGCCGCCGAGGCTCTGGATCCCTCAGCCCCATCCTGACACGGAACTCTTTGCTCTGGGTCGAGATGATGCCCGAGGCGTATGTCGGGCGTGTCCCCCTACAGGGGGATTTTCGACGAAAAATAAAACATGCCCCAAAAATGCCCCCAAAGGTCAACAAATACTAAAAAAGTAGTCCCCCGACTATTTTTCGATTATTTGGGGGGTATTTTTTATTTTATT